TGACTAATGAGTTTGCCGACCACTGTCCTAAGCTATTCATGTGCACTCCACATAAAACACTGCATGTGTGGAGCCCACCCCTCCCCTTCAATTGTCAGAAAATTTGTAGATCAAATATACCAAAAATAACTCTACTGAATATCTCCCCATTTACCACCAGACCCCAAATCATCCTGTTCTCTGTTATCCACTGAGAATGGAAAGTGGGACAAACACTTGACAAAAAATCTGGCTGTTTCTTAGGGCATAAGATACATTGAACCTAAAAACCAGTAAATCTGCGTATACTGCTTCCTCAAGAGCAAGAAATTTTCTGTTTCAGAAGACTGGACTGGGATCTCACCAATGTCTGCATGAACATTCACTGCAGATCCCGATCCCGCTTTCCTGTCTTTCTTTCTTTTCTCAATTCCCACCTCCCTGCCTCAGCCCGGCTCAACCTTGTCAGGCTGGCCCTGACACACTGAGGTGACAGAAACACATTATCTAGACTAGAGCCCTCCGGTCTCGGGACCACAGAGTTGACAGGGAAACATTATCTGGAACCCTCAGGTCTTGGGATAATTGTGCTGTCCTGGTTCCCAGGTACAGAGGAATTTCCGTTCTAAAACCAGTAAGATCACAATCGATGGGATATTCACATTACAATCAATAAGGCATTCAATCGAATAGGATGATTATAGAATTCAGGAAATCAAAGAAACTTTTCTATTGTTAACAAAGCAAATAAGTACAGAAGCCAAACAGCAGGGTAAAAGTTAAACTACAGTTTCTACTTGAGATGATTGCTACCATACTTCACTGCAACTCTTTTTTATATCAAAGATCATCCAATGTGAGTCATTTGGAAATTCCTATGGACATGTAGGGATGAGAGCAGCTAATAATTCATTAGAGAACCATTTAATTAATCAATTAGTTAATCTATTTATTTATTTTAACTTTTACTTCTTTGGAAAAAGATTTGGGAATAAAAATGCCAAAGACAAGGGGTTCCACAAGTTCTGGATTGGTGGGAATATCCATTGCAGAAATAATGTCCCTGTTGTCTCATTGGAGGAGAAGAACTGGCTTTTCTTTGTTCTTTAAAACTTGCACCTCACTGCAAAAGTAAGGCTGGCCTGGCAACAGAAACTTACCTACACAGTTGTTTAGAAATCCCACAATTGTACTGGTTACACTACTGTATTTCTGTGAATAATAACTTTTTAAAAAAATTTTAATCTTCACTCAAGGATATTTTCTACACATTAATTTTCAGAGAGAGTGGAAGGGAAGTGAAGAGACATGGAGAGAGAAGCAGCGATGTGAGATAGATACATTAGCTAGTTGCCTCCTGCACACGCCCTGACTGGGACCGAGATCAAGCCTGCAACCAAGGTATGTGCCCTTGACCAGAATCAAACTAGCAGCCATTCAGTCTGCAGGCCAAAAGTCAAACTGGAGAGGGCAATAAGAACTTTTTAATGCAGAACAAATATAACCCAAATTAAATTTCAATTTCAATGACATATATTTACTGTAGAAAAATGAGAAATATTAACTAGGAAACTGTACAGAAATATTTATTTTTTAATTAACTAAAATTTAAAGAAAGTTATAATTCTTTCATCAAATTACTTTGTTTCTTAAAACAAAGTAGAATAATAATTGTGAAAGTAAGCTAAACTAATATGTATTCTTAAAATAATTTGTTGTAGTCACAGTAAGAGAACAGCATACCTAATTACTAATTATGTACTAGCCATGACAGAGGTTATTAAAAAGATTCTGTTGTTTAATTACCACAATAATACCTCAAGGACAACTCATATATATATATTTTTACAAATGTGAAATATAATATTCTAGGATTAAGTTTATTTGATCAGAACTAATATGTAATAGTAACAGTAGAATTATAATAAAATGTTCAATGTCACACACACACACACACACTCACACACAGAGACTTATCTATCACTGGCAGAGCTGGAGTAGTGTAGACAGCAGCACAGAGGTATCTGAGATCTGAAACATGAAACTTCAGTAAAAACTACCCAAGTGCCCTTAAGGCAAAAACCTGTTTAATGAGACACTGACATAGTTTATATTTCTCAGTAATTAGTGGGGAAAATGTTTATTCAGTTGAGACAGATGTTATGCACTGAATGACATTTTTCTTCTCACAATGATTCTAACTATAGTAGGTTTTATTTCCAGGACTATTTTAAGAAAATAAAATCAGCATTCAAGTATTTTATTCATGGTTCATTGTGCATATTTGGATAGACTGGACTTGAATTCAAACACTCTGTACACAAAAATTCCACTCTTGGTACATATTATTTATAGTATTTTCTCCTTCTCTCCTTGATGAATCCTATCTAATAATAGCCAAGGATGGTAATTGACTGTACCTTCGCTATGCCTCCCATTGGCTACTCAGCACAATATGCAAATTAGCCACCAACAAGGATGGCGGCTAATTTGCATACTGCAGGCAGGTCGGGACAGCATGAGCCACCACTGGGCCCTGTGTTCAGCCCTGGGTGGCGGGGCTTAGGCGGTGCAATTGCGCCACCTAAGCCCCGCCTCCAGCCGGGACCCCCGTGTGCTGCCTAAGCCCCGCCCCCAGCCGGGACACCATGGCAATTAGAGAGCAGGAAAGTGCTGCCCACAGGGAGCACCCAGCAGAGCCTGACCCCCGGTGCCCCGGTGATCCAGCGAGTGGTGAGCAGGAAAGGGCTGCCTGCAGGCAGCTCCCGTGTGTGCCTGCTCCTAGGTCACCGCAGCGATCCCAGAGCAGGAAACGGCTGCCTATAGGCAGCACCCTACCCTGGCCACAGCTCAAGGGGGAGTACAACAAGCAGTAGAGGCCCGGAGCCTGAGAGATCAACAGAGAAGGGCGCCTGCTCCAACCCTCTACTGTGTGGCTGGGGGCAGGCCCACAGCAGACACACACACACACACACACACACACACACACACACACACACACAGAGCCTACTCTGAGCCTCCTATGTGGCTGGGGGCAGACCCTCAGCGGGGAAAGAGGTTCTACACAGAAGTGAGTGAGAGTATGAGAGGTTTAAGAGCTTGGAGAAACCAGTTTCAGGGAGCCAGGATATTTCATAGAATTGAAATATGGATAAATTTCCTGATTAAAGCAACATGAAGAGAATTTATAGATGAGAAACCCATGGTTTGTGATATTCAAAAATGAGATAGTGGAGGCCGTGTAGTCTAAAAAAACTCCAATACGATGGGGAAGAACAGTCAGGAACAGGGTTAAGGGCGAGGGGTTGGGGGAGGAAGAATCCACAAAAGCCTGATATTGGGAATAATTCTGTAACCCTATAACCCAGTAGCCATTTTTAGGTTGATATTGTGAGCAAACAGGCTGATTATTGCCCCAAATATCTATCCCAGTGGAGACAGGGTATTCCCTGCTACATACCCCCAAAATCCAGTCCTGACTCTGTGGCACATCTACCTCCCAGTAATGCTTCCCTGATGTGATAGAAGGGAATCCCAGGACACCATAATCTTCTCTCTCATATGGCCAATGTGCTATCTGATAATAGTCACTGAAGACACCTCTCACTTTTCTCCCATGCACATTTGACTGATGATTCAGGGTCACGTTTGCTGTAAAAAAAAATTACAGTGTTGTGTGAGGAAAATTATGTACTATTACTTATGACATTGCAAGAGAGATCATCAGAATAAAATGAGTAGGAACTGGAAAAAACTTGTTTTAGTTTTTAAGGAGCAGTATACCATTGCAGAAATATATGCATGTGTGTTGGAAGGAAAACATGGATCTTAACAACCTCTCACACCCTCATCCATTTCTGTGTAGAGCCTTTTTCCTTGAGTGGATCTAACAAACTCAGTTTATCTTCATCACTGTCACCATCTTATCTTTGTTGCCTTCTGATTTTTCTGATTTAAACATCCTTCCTTCATCAGTAGGATGTACAATTTGCCTCATGTTACATTTATCCCAAGATCTTATTTGTATTAGGAAAGAGACCGAATAGAAATGCAATGTTCTAAAAGAAGATGAGGACAGGGTAGATTCATGATACTGTGATTTCTACTTACCCCAGTAGCGGCGCACCTCTGTCAGTTCTGAAATTAGAAAAAATTCATAATATAAAATATAAGCAAAAGAGTCTACATTAAAATCTATTTTCTCTCCAGATCAGGGGAAAGACTGGTGTCTATGTAAGGTGGTACAAGGAAGAATGAGAGGTGCACAAGGCAGTTGACCACTCCCCAGTAAATATGCCCATATAGTCAGCACATAATATCCATTTTCCTTTGCCTCTTCTACCCAGACCTAGAAACTGAATTCTTCTTCCTCTTTAACCACCATCATAACTAGAACCCACAGATACCCTCTCACTCTAGAAATCCTCACCATTAAACACTTGCAGCATCCCTCTCAGATCAGGAACTTGGAACACTCTCCTTTGTTTCTTGGGGAGAGTTTTTAGCTTCTTCAGAGTGAAGGTCTTACTCCTAGGGATGACAAAAAAAAAATATATCTCCACACCTCTGCAGTTTTTGTCCTCCAAAACCATTGATTTGTATCCATTCACCCTATTGAACACTTGAGCCCCCATTCACAGACCCCTGAGAAAGAAGAGAGGAGACCTCGGCACTTAGAGCCCCTTCATGGACCACTGAGGAACTAGAGGGTAGGCTTCTGAACTTAGAGCAAGAAAAATTGTGCTTGGTCCACTTTCCCCGGTGCCTTTTGCTTGATCTTGGGAAGGAGTATACCTCTCAGAAGCACAGTTTATTCCTTTCACAGTGAATATCCTCTCCCTCTCTAACTTCTAAAAATCATGTGAAATTATATACAAAAGTGGATTTCTTTAAAATACAAAGTTTGGTACCTTGAAATAAATTAATGTAAGGAAAAGCCATGGCATGGGTGTAGATTCCCAGAATTATGACAAGAAAGGAAGGTTGCAGAACCTAGCTCCTGGTGGGAATACTCTCTGGAGAGAACCAAGACCTTTCGGTGTTAATCCCCACTGGGGATGCCCCAGGAACAGTATCTGAGGTTTCAGTTGCTCTGGGGAAAAAATGTAACACTTGGAAAAGACATTATAGACACTATACTAACAGTGGTCTGAATTTCATGTGCTTGGAAGAGATTAGTGCGGCCAAGTAGTTGTTCAGATTTAGATACAAAGATGATGTCCTTCCATTCTAACTTTAAAATATAGTACAAGATGGATCAATGGTTTTCCCCAAGGTCAAAATATTCCTTGATATTCAAGTCAGCTTTTGGAAAATAAAGAGAACCATATCTTATATTCCCAGAGAAGACATTTAAATATAAAGAAGCTGTCTCAAATTCTGGGTGCCTCTGAGGTAAAGAAGACATGACATTCCCACAGTGAATACATTACCTATGAAATGTGGAAATCTGAGTTAGATACAGGCATGATGCATGCATAGAATTTATGAAGTCAGATGGGTCTGATACTGCAACATCTGATGTTTAATTGCTACTAATCCATACTCTGCAACTCCTCCCAAGTAAATTGCCTAAATAAAAGCTGGTTCATCCTCAATAGATATGGAATACACAAACCATGTGTGAACAGAAATTTAAGATAAAACTACATCTAAATTTGTCTGCCTTGAGCAATATTTTATTCTAACTTTAATGGCTTTAAACTACTTTTTACAGCACAAAAAGACCATCTCTGATCTTCCACACATACCTTTCCATAGTGTCTTTCACATCCTAGGGAAGAAAGAGAAACTATAAGTAACATAAAAAGAATATAACTGAGTTGTCTCAAATTCTGGCTGCTTAGGATCTGAAGAAAACATGACATTCCAACAATAAATCCATCACCTATGAACTGCAGAAATCTGACTTAGATACAATCATGCTGATTGAACAAAATTAATGAAGTCACATGGGCCTGATACTGCAACATCTTATGTTTAACTGCTTCTAATCCAAACTCGGCAACTTCTCCCCATCTAAATTCCCTACCATAAAATCTGGTTCATTCTCAGTAGTTATAAAAGACTCAAACCATATGTGAACAGAAATTCAAGATAAACCTACAACCAGCTTGTTCTTCCCTGAGCAATATTTTATTCTAATTAACTACAAGATAACTTTAATGGCTTTAAACCTCTTTTTACAAGACAAAATGTTCATTGTTCATCTTTCACACATACCTTTCCAGGATGCCATTCACATCCTAGGGACAAAAGAGAAAACATGAGTCAAAAAAGTAATAGTCCTCCTCACTTACAAAGCTTCATCACATACCCAGCAACCCCATGATCTGGTGGGAATAGAGATGGTCCTAATGTGAGAACAAAATAATTAAAAAAAGACCGAGGTGTATAATTTCAGAAGACTCATGAACAATTGTCAGGTTTTCTAAAATATAGAAACAACTTTGACGCTTGTGGAAGAATACTTTGAGCTTCCAGTACCTGGAGTTGAGACATATTTATAAGAAAAGCATGAGGGTCCTGGTATTTTTCCCCATGTTCATAAGACTCTTCATGAGATGATTTGAATAATTCATGGTTTGCTCATTTATTCAACACAAATGTAAATTGATTAACTATTAGCCTCTCCTGCCACCTCAGCAGCGCTAAGGATGTCCGACTGCAGCTTAGGTCTGCTCCCCATGGCAAGTGGACATCCCCTGAGGGCTGCCGGGCTGCCAGAGGGATGTCTGATTACCAGGTTAGGCCCAATCCCCTGGGGAGCAGGCCTCAGCCAGCAGATGGTCATCCCCCGAGGGGTCCCAGACTGTGAGAGGGCACACAGCTTAGGCCCAATCCCCTGGGGAGCAGGCCTCAGCCAGCAGATGGTCATCTCCCGAGGGGTTCCAGACTGTGAGAGGGCACAGGCCGGGCTGAGGGACCTCCCCCCAACCCCCCGAGTGCACAAAGTTTTGTGCACCAGGCCTCTAGTTCTCTATAATAAAGAGGTAATATGCAAATTGACTGTCATGTGCTCACACAAGATGGCCACCCCCATGTGGTCAAAAATGTCTGCCTGCATGTGGTCACAAGATGGCCACCACAAGATGGCAGGCAGGAGAGGGCAGTTGTGGGCGATCAGGCCAACAGGGGAGGGAAGTTAGAGGTGACCAGGCCTGCAGGGGAGGGCAGTTGGGGGTGACCTGGCTGGCAGGAGAAGGAAGTTAGGGGTGACTGGGGTGGCAGGGGAGGGCAGTTGGGGGCAACCAGCCCTGCAGGGGAGTGCAGAGGGGGCAACCAGGCCAGCAGGGGAGGGCAGTGTTGGTCAACCATGCCAGCAGGGGAGGGCAGTTGGGGGATCAGGCCTGTAGGGGAGGGCAGTTGGGGGCAATCAGGCGGTCAGGGGAGCAGTTAGGCATAGATCAGGCTGCCAAGGGAGTGGTTAGGGGTGATCAGGCTGGCAGGCAGAAGCAGTTAGGGGCAATCAGGCAGGCAGGCAGGCAAGATGCTGGGAGCCAGCGGTCCTGGATTGTGAGAGGGATGTCCCAGATTAGAGAGAGTACAGGCTGGGCTGAGGGACACCCCCACACACTCCTCCAGTGCACAAATTTTGTGCACCGCACCTCTAGTTATAAAAATAAAATATTCCCTTGTTATTCATGCATTTGATGATTTCCATAACCTCTGAAATAGATGCAAGGAACGGTTACTGCAAGACCAAAGGAACTTCAGCATCACCACCACAAACAGCACAGCCACACATCAGAGGTTATGGAAATCATTTGAGGAGTCTTTGTTTTCCTCAAATTCAGATGCTGATGATTCTTTCTGAGTCTTACCTGCAGCATCTCTGCTGTTGACCCCTGCAACCGACGCTGCAGATCCCAGGTGAGATCTCTCAACACCTGGCTCTGCTGGATGAGCTCACTGTCACCCTGGGCCAGGTAACTGAGAACATCTCTCTCCTCCTTCTCCAGCCTTTGCAGCTCCTTCTGCTCCTCACCGTCCAGGATACCTCTCAGTTCTTTAAAATAATCCTGGATACTTTGGATTTCATTATCTATTAGATCCTTCAGGAATGGAAAAGAAAGAGAGGGACTCAGGCTATCAGGAAGAGACTGGAAGCCAGAAAAAGAAGTATTTGATTTGGAAGTTCTCAGAGGGAAAGGAGATGCAAGCACAGGAACAATTAATGGGGAGGCTGATTTTTTCCTATTATTTCTTCTCATCACATCCAAAAATAATGGCCTCAAGTCTGCACTGTTGAAACAAAATGAGACACCAAGGTGTAGCTCAGCTCTCACAGAGCTTCTCAGGGCAGTCATGCCTTCCAGCATTACCCCTGACCCTCACCCCCAACCTCTGCCTAATGTTGAACATCAAAGACATGAACTGTTGGCAACCGTCTTCCCCTGAAAGAGTTAAAGGCTCAAAATAATCAGAGACATGAACACAGAATTCACTAGCCTTCCTCACCAGATAATCTCTCCATGAGAATAACTAACCTATAAATATCTGTGTTAGTTTGTAACAGATTTATATTCTGCCCAACCCCTACCAAGGAAAGGATGAAGAATGGCTAATCAATAAATCTGGACATATCAACTGCCAGGGAACAAGAAGACAGGGAGCTCCTTCTGACTACACCCAAGGTCCTACCCAGAATCTTGTCTAGCTACCTCAGGAAGAGTTTCCTCCTACCTTCCAGGAAGTTGTTTCCTTTTCAAGGTCAGCTCTCAATTTTTCAGCTTCCTGCTGCTTTGCACTCAGACTGTCCAGAGCTTTCTGGAGCTTCTCCTGTGAGAGAGGAATCACATCAGGGTCAAGCTTTGGGTTTTCTTATCATCAGAAGAGAGGACAAATGGGGAAGAAATCAGGTTGATCTCTAAAGAGACTTGAGTTTATAGAAACTGCAAAATGACAATTTGAATCTGTGATTTGAAGGAAATCTGATGTGGTTATGTGTTCTTTAAGACTCAGATGATAGAAGTCACCATTACTATGTCAAGAGAAGACTAGCTCTCTTTGCCCTAGAAGAAAAAACTTGATCCTGTGTAAGGAAAGAATTTAGGTCTTGATTCACTCTCCTGTCCAAAGGGACAATGACAGCTTTGCTTGTGCACCAACCCTCCACCTATTAGCACAAGGTATAAAAATGTCTACTTCTGATTTAAAGTCTGCTCATCATTTGAATGCACAGAAATGTCTTTCAGGTCTTGGAAGGTGGGCATAGGAAGAAAAGTGAACACAGGACTCAGGGTTATGGTGGCAATATAATTATAGTCAAATGCAAAGTTAAGATTTGCCATCAAGTGCTATTTTCTGCCCTGTCTTTCCTCCATCCCAGTCTATTACCTTGTACTCCTGGGCAATTTCCTCCAATAGGAAGGTGTGGTGACCACGGTGCTCTTGGGACCGCTCGCAAAGCCAGCAAATGATCTTCCCATGCTCCTTGCAGAAGAGCAGGAGTTTCTCTCCATGGTGCACACAGAGATCACTCTTTTGCTCCTCCTCTGGGCTCAACTTGACCTCCCTGAGCACCTCCACTATGTTAGCCAAATGCAGACTAGGCCGCAGGTTCTCAGGCTGGTAACTGATCCTGCACACGGGGCAGCTGCTCTCTCCTTGGCCATTCACGGACTCCTTGTTGTTTGCAGTGATGCAGGCTTGGCAGAAGCTGTGCCCACAGTCCAGGCTCATGGGTTCTGTTAGGATCCCCAGGCAGATGGGGCAGGTCATCACCTCTTTTATATTCACCAGGATTCCTGAAGCCATCGTAGCTGGTCCCTGTTCCTTCCTACCTGTTCTGAACTGAGGCTCCTCTTGTTCACTGATCTCTGCCTGATTGGAAAGGTTAAAACGGGGTAGAGTAAGAACAGTGGGAATAAATATTGTTAATTGTATAGAAATCAAAGACAGGGAAAGAACAAATATAGGGACATAAAAGAAGAGGTAGAGAGACAGAGAAAGGATCACGGTGACCTGGCAATTGTAAATACTTTAGTTAATTTAACATGACACATTTCATTTCTTTCTGTGCAATGGTTGTTATTGATCTTTACTTTTACTGAACAAAAGTATAGTTTGAGGCCCTTTATACAAAGAAAAGATGTTTGCGTGACCCAACATCTCTCCTTCTTCTTCTTTCCTTTGCCAAGCACATCCTCAATAATAAACCCACCAAACCACTTGTGGGTCTGGGCTTTTACACCCACTCATCTCTCAGCAGGCAATGCTGCCCCTGGTATCAGTAGGATTCATTCTCATACTTCAGTCAACAATCTCCTTCCATGTTCCTTTATCAGAAAGACCTGCTCTGACTTGCTTATTTACAGTGTAACGATTGCCATCATTTTCTGCGTGTTTAAAAAGATTTCTCTTATTATTTCGACATGATATGTGACACTGTGTGTACCTGGCAAGAGCAAACCCTTTATCAGATCTGTACATAGAGATAGTAAGTGACTTACAAGGATCTTATCTTCAATACACAGAGTTTCAGTGAACCTACTATGTTCAAGGTCCCCATCAGGGGTCTGTTCCTACATTATTGAGTTAATCAAAGGTGAAACAAGTAACATAGGAATTCTGAGGATTCTTGTGTTGATAAATGGTAACATTTCACATTTTCCTGGAAATTTGCCAATGACATTGATAGGAGCCTCATAGTGTGTATGTATGTTGATGGTAAAGAAAGATAGGATAAATATACGTTAGAATTATGCAAGTAACATATCTGAAAAATTAGAAATTCAGATGAAATAGATATCAGTCTTTGGAAAGAAATCTCAAAATATTAGGCAAGGTCATTTAACTAATTTTTCTTTTTTTAATATATGTTTTTATTGATTTTAGAGAAGAAGGAAGAGGGAGACAGGAACATCAGTGATAAGAAAGAATTATTGATAGGCTTCCTCCAGCAAGTCCCACACTGGGGATCGAACCTGCAATCTGGGCATGTGTCCTGACGGGGAATGGAACCATGACCTCCTTGTTCATAGATCAATACTCAACTACTGAGCAACACTGGCTGGGCTCAACTAATTTTTCATCACTACAAATTACATGCTAATACTAATACCCAGAAACACAAAAAATGAGTCTGAACAGAGAGTTCAAACCACTATGACCCTGACATTCACTTGCAAAGTACAGCAAATTATATGCAAGCTGATGTGACAAACAATAATAGAGAAATGTGTGTGTTAGGAAATCAAATAATGGGGACAGGTAAAGAGCTATCCAGAAATTCTAACTTGAAAACATAAAGATTAAACCAGAAGATGAATCTTATGGAAATATGGCATATGGGGGAGAAAAAAAAGTATCAGGTAAAGGAAATGACCTGTTCATTGAAGACACACCACCTTGTCTGATTTTGAAAATGCCAATGTCGCTGGTGTGAGAAAACTGCTAGGCCTTTGGTATCACATGAGCCTGTAGTGATAATGACATATGGCCCTTTGACAATTCACCAATTTTCTAACATTTCAGACACTTTTCCAAGAGTAAAAGGAATGATCAGTGTTGGGCTATGGAATATTAGATAGATTCAGTAGAATTGAGAGGATGAGTAGGATATAAGCACAACTTCCAAGGAGACATGATGATAGCTTTCAGGACAAGGAGGTGATGGAATGGGGAGCAGGGAGTAAGAGTGAAACATAGGACTAGGTAAGAAAAAAAGACTGGCAGTTCTATTATATACTTTGTAACAAAAGGGCAACATCAAGCCTGGACTCTTTATTCCCATAGAGGTAATATTGGCTAATTCTTCTAATAAGTTGGCTTTTTGTTTTTGTTTCTGGAGAACTCATGAGGCTATAATAAAGTGGAGGGTCTGCTGCCTTCAAGGCCACATTGTTGATAGCAAAATTAGACTGATGTGGAAAGTGCATTGGACTAGGAGGACTTCCCATGGACCTCAAGTGCCAGGTAACAAGCTTAGACTTCAATATCCATAAGGGGATTGTGACATTTTAGCCACCTCTGTCTCTTTTAGGCCCTTGGACATTGTGCTTACTGGCTTTCACAACATAATTTGCACTCTAGCTCTAGGCTTACATACCTTTGTTGATTTCTCACACATCCACTAAGTCTGGCTTCTCAAAAGGCTGAGAGATAACAGGAATGAAGTACTTTCTATAGCATTGAGAAGATCATCACTAATAGCTCAGCTAAGGTAGCCAATGTCAGCATGCCCAGTCTCCTGTCCTGTATCTCCAGCTCAGCTTTACATTACCAGGTCACATAGATGGTAATGACCATTTAAATTAGAAAGGATGCTGGTGGTCTGTTAGGGAAGGTATTATAGAGTGGTGACACAGTGTTGCTCATTCTCCCACCTGGACTCAATATGGCCCTGTGGATACAGTTTAGGCTCAGGATTCTCTAAGGAACTCCAAGTAAATAGGACTATGAAGCAATAAACAACGAAAGAAAAGATCTCAGTAGATATCCATGTCTTGATGGTTGCCAAAGTTTGAAGGTTAAAGAAAGAAGATCTTTATGAGATAAGTTTTTCCTTTGCTCTGTGCTCAGAGGGAAAAGTTATAAAGGCTGCATGGAGAGGAATTTAGACCCACTAACACTGTCTACTAATGCCATGTCCATCGTACATGAAGGGAACCTGATAAGGAATGAGGCTGAAGGAGAACAGAAGTGTATTCTAGCTAGTGGGCCAGATACTGAAAACAGCCCAGAGGCCATATGCAGTTAGCCTCTGGCTGCAGAGATGGTGGTACAGATCATTTTATGGCTCCAGCATAATCCAAACAAGGTGTAAGAGCCTCCAAATATTTCTCATCCTATCCAAGATCCAACAAATCCTGAGACCCACCAGGAGCCTGTAGAGGAGAGAGGAAAAGAGCATGCATTCTGCCTTGGGGCTGCAGAATTTATTTTTATGGTGGGGCTACAAGGAGATAAGGTCAAAGCAGCTGCTGCCACAGGACACAGAAGAGGAAAGTGCAGAAGAGCTTGAGTCCTCACCAATGGAGTTTGACCCCACTACTACCTAAGCAGTGACCAGGGCTCCACAGCAGGCAGGGAGATAAATATGGGAACATGAATGATGTGTGCACAGAAAATATATCACAAATGTGAAGCCCATCCTTGAGGACTTAAGGGTTTGTAACCCACATCAGGCTCCCCGCAGACCTGCACCAGAGTCCTGATCCCACAAAATGCCTGCCTTCAAAAACCAACAAAGTTTTTATTATCCCCAGGAGCACTTTGGTGGTGTAGGGCACAGGAGATTCCTCTCTTAAAGGCTCCTGCAGAGGACCTAATGGTCTTATGGGACTTTCCCAGGATCCATGCAAAAGCAGAGGTTTGAGATGTGCCTAGACCATGTGTGAGGGAGATCCCTCTCCTGAGAAGGAGTGGAAGCCTATTGGACTCACCTGAGTCAGAGACTCAGGGGCTGGGGCAACACTGATGCTCCACCCCTTACCTTATGAGAACAGGGCTGCATCTCCCTCTATCCCCTCAAAGCTCCTGGGTGCACCAGCCCTATCCCCAGGCTTATGCCCAGGAGAACCATAGAGGTATAGGGAACAGGAGATTCCTCTCTTAAAGGGTTCCTGCACAGGACTTGAAGCACTGATAGTATTTGCACTAGGACCCACTCAAAAACAGAGGTTTGAGAATTGCCTAGACCATGTGTGAAGGAGATCTCGTTCCTGTTGGAGGAGTGGAAGCCTGTTGGACTCGCCTGAGGCAGAGATGTTGGGGTGGGGGTGGCATTAGAGCTCCATCCTCTATCTTGCCATTGCAGGGCTCCATTTCCCTCTAACCTGTCAGTGCTCCTGAGTGTACATGCTGCATCCCCCTGCTGCTGCTGGGCTGCCAGAGCTGACAGGAGAGGGCCCATGCCTCATTCCCCTTGCAGGGCCACCACTCCTGAGTGCTAGAACTCTTGGGGGAGTTCATTAATGTGGTACAGATTAAAACCTTGATGGAAAGAGGTGGGGTAGAAGACAGAAACCTGAATATAGAGGAATAGGTAGAGTTGCAATTTTCTGAGTTTCCCAAGTATAAGGATGCCAAGAATAGGTTCACCTTTTTAATGATGGTTATTGACCAGGAGAGGTTTCAAGGATGTTGGCTAAATCCCTTATAGGACTTTTGCAAATTATGTTGACGCTAGCTGCTGGGTCAATTTCTCTCAAAGAAGTCATTTGGGTGCATTCTATAGAAATTAAGAGTTTTATACGACAGGTGAATTCATTTGTTATTGTGATTTTAATAAAAAAATTACTTTCTCCTGTCTTGAGGGACCTGGAATAGCCCCTGAGCATTCAGTTAGTATACACCAGATATGGTTTTTGTCCCCAGTATAAAAAATAGATACATCATCTATGAGATGAGGGAAGAAAAGAAAGTACACAACAAAATCTAAGTAACACAGAGATCAAGGTACAAATTGCTCAAAGGTGAGATTAAGATGGACTTCCTTTTGAAAAATTACTAACTCCTCTTCTTAGCAGCATGCAAGGGAAAAGTGAGTAAAGAGTCAATATAATAACAGAGGAAGGGAATGTGTAAAATAATGCAGAACTCGTTCTAAAGCAGGAGAGGACACCAGAGAGTCATAGGGT